TGGCGCCACATGTTTTCAAAACAAGTGATAAGGTAATAAGAGACTTGTATTTGACTCTTTTGTGTTGTTGCTTGAGCACACATTTATGCAAGGATTAGCCATGTACTGCTTTGATAATGTTATACTTATCATACGGGTTATCCATTAAAAAGTCATGTATACTTATATTTTATTGAAGCATAAACGTGACAGAATGTGTGAATGTCATGTCGATTCTGTCATGTTATGTCTTGCTGTTAGTATGCACAAAATGTGGCCTATATTTCTTGTGTTTGGTACTTTATTCATTCATTCAGCTGTGCTCCTATTATTATGATTGCACATAACGATTAAAACTAGCTTAGGGAAAAGGGGTAAGCCATCTCTTTCCCCAAACTATTTACATGCACCTTGTTCATTGGGTACGATGGCTGTCGCTACGCATGCGAAGCTCACGCACTTCAAATGCTTCGCGTCCGCGTGCAGTCGTTACTTGGAATGCGCGCTGTGTTCTTCTCCGTGGTTTATTGGCTATGTAATGACCCGTCACAGAGTATCTCTTCATAAGTCAATACCTTCCTTTGTAGAACTTGGTTAATCTAATTTTCCTCTCTACCTCCTTCGCCCGAGGAGTTGGATCGATACTTGTGGTAGGTGGTCATACAATACCTAAAGAAAAGGCTACACGTCCTCTGGTATCTTCCTTCTAACGCCCCATTGCTGAATAGAAAGCGAAAGAGAAAAGAAGATGCGGCAAGTAGACAGACAGTCAGAGATAGAGAGAGAGAGAGAGAGAGAGAGAGAGAGAGAGAGAGGGGGGGGGGGGGTCAGTGAAGAAGCTTGGTCGTAGAAGGATCATAGATAATGGATTAGGAACGGTCTTGACTAGACCTGGACTCAGTTTCCAAGAAACAAAAGAAATCGGCGAGAGATGAAAGAGTCATTCCTTGGGTATGTCCTTCGGAAACCTATAGCCGTCTACATACGTTGACAGAATAAAATAGACCGAAGGTTAGGGTTTATATAGATCTCAAGTATTGAGTAACATGTTCAATTATTTTCAAGGGAAAACGTTTTCACCGGTAGTCTCCGCCCATGATTATGATTTGATATCTAATTTGTCTTAACGTTCAGAATACAATGAGAACGGTCGTTAAACTTACGCGAGTCTGAAACGACCAAAGAATCATTTACAGCTCATCTTATAAGCAATCTCAATCATGTTAGCATACTAAGATAAATCGCTATAAAGGGGGAGGGGGTTAATATACGTGCATGAAACAAAACGTTCAAACGTTCCGCGCTTTGTCGTAAAGTCGCTGATGCTTGTCTTATATCTTTCTCTTTTTTAGGGGGAGAGTTTAAAAGGTGTAGGTTTCACAAGGAACACATTCTTTTAATGATTTATGCTCGGAGTGCAACCAATATCATAAACTGGACAGATAATTATTCACTCATTTCTGCTTCATAATGTAGCCATTAGCTGGGGCGGGCACTTCAGGTGAATGCGCGACAACGTGAACAAGGCTCTGTCATATTTGCATACACAAAGTTAAATTTACCGACAATAAATTTAAATAGTTGGTTTGGAAGGGTTGCAATATACCCCTTCTCTGTCTTTGGCTACGCCAATGCCCCGTCTCTTTGATTTGAATTCTTGGCGGACTTCAAAACAAATAATATAACCAATACACATTCATAAGTCAAAGCATTAACCGTTAGTACATTGAACATTCAAAAAGCTTAATCTAATGACCTTCATGTAGATCAAGACGTGAAAAGAGAGCTTAAATATATTGTTAGACAAGGGTTAATGACATGAATGAAACCTCTCTGATCTTATCCGTCTCATTGATTAGAACATTTCATGTAAATTGACTTCAAATTTACAATTGAATTATTTGATCAGGATGAAAGTGAATAATAAACACGTTCTGATGACTCTCCTCCTTCAATTCCCTGTAGTTCTAAAATATAAATTCCTATTTATTTTTGCGATCCCCCTAGGAATAATAGGCCAATGTATTTAATTGTATTTGTTGGATTAGCCGGATCCTCCAATTCGAAGCATCTGCGATTTAATTCTCTTTTAAAAGGGATGAAAAGGTAAACAAAATAATACATTGCACTCTGATCTGATCAATAATATTGATACCTTGTTTTTTTCTTCTTTTTTTCCCTGCCAAATATTACGCAGTGAATCAAACGAGAAGGCCGACACATATGTTTTTAAATGTGTCGTTATACAAAATATGGTCATGATCACTCTCGAACATATCCTCATTTCATTTTTGTGATTTCTTTTTCTAAACATCATTTAAAATAAATGCAGAATTCAAACAGATACTTTTGCTGAATCTTAATCATATCTAACAAAGTCTTAAAAAACACGTATGTGTCGAATTTTAAGACAATCGTAAAATATAAAATTAATTGAAATACAAATGTTTTAAAACGAAGGTCTTATGCTTTTAAGTGCTATTCTTTTTTTCACTGTCGACGTTACGAATGGCGTAACGAAATGATTCAATGAAAACAACGGAAAGATATCAATCTAATGCATAGATAAAATTAATTTAATTTAAACGACAGAATGTTTTTAAATTCTATCAAACTGGCACACGCCTAACCGGGCATGCAAAGATAATGATTGTAAAACACTGTCCATCTTCGGGGCTGTTTTCCTACAACTAGTCCTCGCCGTATGGCAGTATAAGGTGTAGATAAGATAGTCAAATCAAGGAAATTAACGTCGCCTCTGTGCAAGACATTCAATGATAACTGTATAGTCTGTCTAACTCCTATCATCTTCTAAGCTCTTGTTTGAATTAAAACATGGCTGATAATGAGCTCATTTACGGGCTAATTGTGAGAAGTGTGTTCCGATAATCCGACACGCGCCCTCTGATAAGCATGTCATTTTGGAATGTTCTTCCGTTCCGGTGAGGTCGTCAATCGGAACTCGATCTACGGCTACTGTAACTGTCCGTCGATCCGGGTATGCGCGTACTAGGCATTGTCTGTTGACCACAAAACATAGTTGACTTTGACAAAACAAATGTATTGTACGAATAAGATATTCACTTTCATAATTATTAGCACTCTTTACACATACAATAAGTAAAAACAAACCAAAACAAAACATTACATGCACGAAAGGATTTCAAGATAGTCCAACGTTCTTGAGAAGTAGAGTGCGATCGCCTAGAAAAAATTATTGCAGAAGAGTGTTTATTTGGTTGATGAATATTCATGATAGTTGCTCTTAGACCCCTCTGAAAACCAACGATATCAAGTTGTTATTGCTGAGCAGCTAGGGCTATCCAGCCGGATGTTTTATTTGGTATATATTTCGCTTTGTAAATCTCATGTTGTTTTTCATACGGAAAATAAATACTACATGTACTACTACTACTTAGTTCTCCGTCTGTACACATTCATTATGACCAATGAGTCATAACCTAACCTATGTTCCTTTTCTTTATCATGATAATTTTACTCTTTATTTAATTAATGCTAATTCAAGTCAATCAATCAATTCGTTTAAAACATTTATAAGAAAATTGAAGAAATATATATTAACATCTGAAATTTTTTTAATCACTTAAAACAAAATACTGCATTGTGTATCTTGTGTCGGGCCTGTGTAGGTGTATTGTGTTTCGTGTTTTTTTTCCGTTTTTTTTTTTTTTTTTTTTGGGGGGGGGGGCTGTTTAATGATATTTATTCTAAAGAATTGCAATACACTTTATACAGTAGATGCTTTATTCGGTTGGGCGTCTCGACAAAGAACCCACTTGGTTTTTTAAGGCCATCCTTATTCCCATACTACGTTTTTTTCCTTCAAATAACATGTACTGTAGTATACTGTATATATTTCACAACATATATCTATTTATTCTGTCTACCCAATGTACTTTTAATATATTTGCTGGAGTTGAAATAAACGAACTGAATGGAATTATAACATTTGCATGAGCACGACAAGAAGAATTCGTGTTACATCCGGGTCTCGTGGCAGTTTACATACATGTATAATTATGTATATTCCAAGTATCAGTGGCTTGTGCCGTTATGGTGTATGTAGGGTCATGGTATTTCAGAGAACTCTTCTGTTTCAGTGACTTAGAATTCATAAAATTATAGACCCCTTTCTTTATGTTTCTTCTTGTGCAGGCGCTCTTTTCCGATAGAACCGGAAACAGATATCTCGGAATAAGTAAAACATTAAAAAAAAAAAAGAGTTATAAGCATAATTATCGCAATGCATCAATATTCAATGAACACACAAACATGGCCAATGAATTTCAAATGAACTTTGAACTACCGATTCAAATTGTAGCATGATTTCACAATCGGTTTTAAAGATTCATCTTTACTCTGTATTCATGATTTTGATGTATGGTGTAAATATGATATTAGTATTCAAACTAAAATCAGGTATCATGTTTCAATTTCTTTTAATGTTGATAAAACCCGAATGTATGAAAGAATAAATGAATGATCCCATTTATATTGAATGATGTTCTTTAATTATTGCTGTCATCGAATCAAAAATATTTTTGATTAAAAATATCATCATTTCACGACTAAAAGCTTTGTGGTTATCGATTAAAAAGATAGAAAATTCTGCTTCTTTTCAGAACGTCTTTCTTAAAGTTTCACGCTTGCTTATGGATATCAAATTCAGAAAAGTGCGTCTCTAATTGAAAGTGGTGCGAATCAGTTCTAATATTTGATAAGTGGAAATGCTTAACCCCCACTCCGGTACCACCCAAGAATCTATGTCAACCTCACCGATAACTATTTAAAACACGACTTCATGTACTCCTTATTTTAAGAAATATAAAATATATTTTCCTGTCCTTTTCGTTGGTTGCAACTGACTGTGACTGTCGAGTGGCTGATCCTATTAAACATATCTCCCAACTCCTTTGTTTACAAATTTGCGATCATTGACACCGATACAAGCTTGCTCTTTTTCGGATCAATAACCTCGGCTTTCAAGCGGGCCAAGTTTGTTCCCCTCTTAGAAACCACCAATCGACTTGTATTGGTAAGGGCGATCTGGTTCAGAGCGATGTGGGTAGAAGACAGTAGCAGATTGGTGAGGCCATTTAAAATAGATACGGATGTTCCGTGTAACATTTCTCCCATCTCTGCCTCTTTTCTCCATCCCTCGCGCGATTAAGAATCGTGCTGGAATATTATCATAAAAAGGTGGAGTTTGGTTGGATTTTGTCGTCTCGCCATTGGTGCATTATCGGCACGTCTAACCAGGGCTTGCAGTCAAGCACAAAGAACAAGCACGCGCCCTGATTGGTCGGCGTTGAAAATGATAGGCAACTATCGTGAGCCGTCGTCGCCGCGCGGAGAGACCTAGCGTCTCGTTCGCTCAACTTTTCGCCCGTAATATTTGTGCATTGAGCCACGGCTACCGAGCAAAAGAGAGAGAAGAGGAGAGAGAGAGGAATACTAAAAAAAAAAAAAAGCACATCGGGTAATATTGTATCTATCGTTGAATTCTTTTGCTATTACTGTGTCGTGACGGCACAGAGAGCGCAACTACAGAATACACGCTGTGTGATAATCTCTCGACTTTTGTGACCGTGGCTGTTACACGCTACTGTGTGATACTACTACAAATATTCGTCGAGACCAGAGTTTGCAGCGTGTCTGTCTGAAAGTGAAGATATAATCTTACAGCATCGACCCATCGAACACACACAAATACTAGTCAGCTGATAACACAACACCACATATTTGGTGTCCACTTCTGCTGTTTCAAGTCGCCTTGACGGTTTTCTGTAATTTTATCCTGCTCTGTTTTGTTGGAAGTATACTGCAACACACAGCATGTTTTTATGCTATAAAATTGCACTTTGCCGAAACAGTTCGTCGGATATGTTGTGAATTGTAAAACACTTGAGGAGAAACACATCAAGTTGTTTTGTTTACTTTCAATGCAAGTTTGAAGGAGTTTAAATCGAGGGATTGTATTATTTACATTCTCCCGATATTCATCGAATTTTCATCAATCTGAAGAAATTTTACAGCTGTGAATTGTAAGCTGCGGTGTTTCTGATCATATCTGGAACTGAGATTTGTTGGAGTGGAGGGTAAACCCGCAAGCGAGGTCGCTTTATGAGGAGCCCGTGAGCTACCGGTAAACGCCTGCTAACCTCTCCCCGACAAGTCACGCTGTAACAAGCCATCTCCTGCTGTGCCAATGTCGCCTTATCAAGTGCATCACACATGTTCTTGCTAAACTTGGAACTGAACCTCTGATTTGGGGTCCAGCTTACATACTTGTGGACAAATTCAAGTAGACGTGAAGTGGAATATTGTGGCAGCTCTTTGCTCCACTGACACTACACCGAACCCTTATCACTCTCAGCGGGCTACAGTCGGCGACGAGCGACTCGCCACAATAGGGTAGTGATCGCAGCGGAGGCGAGCGAGAATCAGCGGCCTTCATGCTTTATCACGCCGATACCAAGCCGCTAATCCAACCTTCATATTACGCCTAAGGGGCGTGAGAAACGCAGCAAGAAATCTCCGGAAAACAACCAACCATATAACCCATTTTTACTATTTTCCATCGTCGTTTGGCGATCTCAGGCGTCATCATTCCTACTCTCGTGGGTATCCGATCCGTTGACGACGGGGCGAGGTGGTCGACGAAAATGGTCCAAGTTTGTGCGGGCTGTGAACGGCCCATCTTAGATCGTTTCTTGCTCAACGTACTGGATAGACCCTGGCATGTCAAATGTGTCCAGTGCTGTGAATGCAAGGCTAAACTCACTGAAAAATGCTTCTCAAGAGAGGGGAAACTCTTCTGCAAGAATGACTTCTTCAGGTTAGTGCATTTTTTTTGTAATTTATGATCAATTTGTAACGTTGTTAAAATTCTTAGTGCGTTTCGTTAAACTAGATTATTGATTAATATAATTATTGTAAGCAAATATTAATGTCACTTTCCTTTGTTTCCATAGACCTACCTACTTTCATGTCAACTTAAACTTGTCAAGCAATAAATTTTATTAATTGGCAAGTCCTTTGGCTACTATTAATATCAATTACATTATCGTTAAACCTTTAGCTACCGTGTACAAATACTACTTCTAAAATGCAGTCATTTGAGAAATTTAAGATTATTGTTGAATTTTTGTCAAGGTTTGTTGTCACTTAATGTATTTCAACTATTGTAGTTTCTTCTTTGCTATATCCCATGTGTTATGAAGATTATATCCCGTTAACAACCAAACAAGATATAAAGTGTGTTTGGGATCTGTTTGTTGTGAGGATCAACACTTTGGTATCTGTGTAATGTTTATGAAAACACACAACACAATTTCACCGTATACCACTGGGATTAAACGTCTGCTGGGGATTGTGTAAAACGAGATAACTTATCAATATTCAACAAATAAAAGAAAGTTAAGGAATACAGACAACGGAAGTGGTACAATCCAAAGACTTCCTGATGTACTGATAACACAAATTTTGTTTAAGGGGCAAAACTAAAAATTAAAAAAGGTTTGGACAACTGGCGAGACAGTATTATTAATCAACTACTACCTTTAAGAGTACTCCGACGAGATTGTGTTAGAAGTTAAGAGAAAAGTCATAAGGGTGGCAGGAACTTAATTTCACTTAGGGCTTTAGGCCTATCTAAATGGTTGAACGTCAGGCAGAAATAATACATTGTATATTCATATGATGCATTTAGGAGTTGCCGTAACAAAGTGTCGTGTTGGTGTTTTTTAAGTGTCTGGAATCCTCAAGCAAGAAGTCTTACAATTGAAACTATACCTCAATGTGCAGTTTATGATTGACGATACATCCTAAAAAGGCTGTTTTAAATAACACATGACTCCCTTATATATATATATGTATTATATCACTGGTTCAAACTTCTCTAAACTTATTCTGCGGTCGGTAAGCCGTGGAAGCAAGTTGTGGGTATCCGAACGCTTCAAAATGTGGTCGAAAGCCACAACTCGTCTCAAACCGCTTTCTTTTCAAAGATTCTTCTAACGTTTTTCACCGTTGACTATTCACTTTTACAAAGAATTAATTTATGAATAGATCTTTGGGACGTGATCGTGATGGTCTTTTCACTATTGTATCTTGTTCCAAAACATCACTCTGAAGTCATATAAGAAAATAAGGGGGACGGATTCCTATTCATCAGCGATTAAAAACAACCCGGAACTTAATTGTTTCAAAGGATGGAGAAAACTTTAGGAGTACACCACTGCGTCATTGGCTTTTATATAGCGATGCATATTGCTTGTGGGGTGTAAGGTATAGTTTTCTGCACAGAGATAAAGAACTTAATCTTATATTGTAATGACATGAAGAGACGCTTCTTTGTTTACACAGCACATCGAGACCAACAATGTAGACGTACATCAAACAATTAATTATCATTTACAAGACGCAAGACTTTCTAATTCTTCAACTGGGTACTGATACATTTCTTTGGAGGCCCATATTGCAGTTTAGTCAAACAGTTAATCTACATTTTCAATTTTTATTATTTATTTACAATTTTAAGCAATATGTTTCGAGGGAATTTGGTAAAACAAGTTGGGCAGATAATAAAAGTAATTATGTTTTAACTTTTCTCTTGACTTGTAAGTCATTGCTATGTACGTTTAGTCAATAAATATTGAACAGACAGTAAGAACAATTTTATGAAAAATTCTAGTAAACTTAGAAGTAAGCTTCCGTTTATTCAAGCTGTCTCATTTCATGACTCGTGGGCATTGGGGGTTCCTTGTAAGAATGTTGCCTAGAGTTATTGTCACCCGAGATTTACAACATTTTAAAAGAAAGTTTGATTTTCTTTGTGTCAGGTTCATGACAGAGTTCGTATATATTTTTATTATGATTAGTAAGAGTGTAGAATACTGCCTTTTTAAATTTGTTTAATTTTGAAATAACAAAGAAATACATGATATCTCACACGTAGGAGCGTAAAGAGGTATTGTAAACAACTACTAGCAAATAAGGAAGGACATTGAAGAACAAGATACATAATTATACTGTTAATCACAGAAATTGTGATTATAATCATAAGAATCGTGACGTTATTCACTTTAAGAGATTTGAGCTTAAAATCATAGTTGATATTTATTATGTTACACATGTAAATTGACGAAACCGTAAAGACAATATGATTTCTTATTTACACATTTTTCTGAACAATACATAAAAACTACAATGAAGCCATACCATACCTCTAAAATCTGAAGACATACAATACATGAAACTGAAGTGCATAGAGTCGTGGTTACTAAATTTAGATTGGTAATTAAATACCTGTTTAAAACACATCTCAAATGAAAGTCTACGGGCAGTCTGCGTGGCGAAATCACCAAGTGTGTAATATATTTTAATAAAGTCATTTGAAAATAAAGGTGATTATCTGACTGTGAGTGACTACATTGAGTGTAATTATGTTTGCGCAGGGACGAGTATCAAACGCTTGTTAATGCTCTTGGGGCAACAACTTTTCAATTTAAAGCATTTTATTATAGATGATCTAAACTGTAGTGTCAATTATCAATAAATACGTGCTTCCAAAGCAGAGGAGTGTTATTATGATTAAGGGGTGAGCGATAATTCAATTCCATCTTCAAACTCCGATGAAACGACGCAAATTATACAATATCCTTACAACCTGCGAGACCATACGGAACGGTATAATAGATTGAGTATTTTACCCATGGAATGAAAAGAAGCGATCAAATATAAATACATTATGAATATCAGTACATCAATCACTGCCATTGAACCTGACCATAATTCGGAGAATACATATTTTAATTCTTAAATTTAGGGGGGGGGGTGTCTCAATGTGTTTGGTTTTAGACTTAATATTAAGTGACATCATATTTTTCAGGTGCATTTTGACATTTATAATAAGTACTTTGCCATGAATAACGGGATATACATTTTGTGTCACAAATTATACAATACAATAATGATAACATGCAGTAGATATTATAATTTATCATAAATATTTTTCTGAAAAAGAACAGTTTATTTCAATTAGGTGATGTAAACGGATATATAGATGTTCTTAGGAGGTATGGGCATGTAAAACAAATAGAGATATTCCGAATATAGACATGCGAGAGGGCTTTGTATATAGTGTGACATGTAGCTTACACATAGTAAATCATCTGAATATTAGCATAGATCAAAACACAATTCAGCAAACCATATCATTTTATCACGATGTTTGGAAGGGGAAGTATGAATTATTTCAGTTTGACTTCTATAATTACTATGACTGTGAGAACAGAACGTGTCTCGGTATTCGAGTATATTCACGTTCTCTTGATTGCGGGAAGGGGCGGTCATGTATAGGCCAAACAGTAAAGAGGGAATTTGTAGGGGCATGTCATTTTTTCTTCTCTGCGTTTGAGAGGAGACGTGGTGATGGATGGCTCGTCATTTGCTCATTAATTAACTTGCATGCCTTTTCTCAGCCTCCCGACCCAACAGCTGACAGATATGTATCGTCACATGGAGTCAAGTTACTTCTACAAAACTGTTCTTGTATTCGGTCTCAATGGCTTTCAAAGGAACGTATTCATGTTTGTTTACTTTTTATTTTGTTTATAGTTGTCTGTTATGGATGTAATATTCAAAAGCTCATAATCTTCTATGTTTAATTTTATTTCTGCTCTGTCATCGACAACATTCATAAGCTTATAATGTAAAAACTAAAAAGTAACTCTGATATACCCCACCTCCTGTAATTTTAATACTAGTTTTATTACACTTTATTAATTATCGAAAATTCGGGAGAAAAGTGATGTGTGTCTTTAAAGAATTTTGCGATATATTACCAAAGGTTTTCTATTTTGATAGTGACTTAACCTCACCTATATTCTATTCACAATAATGATATGAAATTAAAGAATGCTATTTATCATAATAAAATCACAAACGTACCCGTATTTTTGTTTATTTTCCTTGAGCTTATGTGAACTCTCAATGACTAATACTCTTGTATGCATAATCAGTATTTAATTTCATATTATTAAACTCCTGCCTGGAGTATGGACATTGAATATTTTGCTTTATCAGTCTTACTCTGGCAAACATGATCCACAGCACACCTAATACCCCTCTTTTACAGGTTGAAATGGAAATTTGAAAGACATCATTTTCTAGTTTCTACCTCTCGCATTTACGGCTAGCCCTTCTCTCTTCAACCTTCTTACCAGACCTGTATCCTGTTGGCAGTGTTGAGAAACAATTCAAATACTTGTATGTCATGATCACGATCGTATATGTCTCTTGGACCTCAGTTATCCATCACATCAATTCAAAGAGTATAGGGCATCTTATAACGTATACATCCAATCCCATGTCTGCTTACAAGGCCTAAAGCCTAGGTGTACTTGTGTGCATGCTGAATGTATTTTGCGGCAAGTATATTCAACATTGCTCGGCGCGTACACGATCATCTAACGCGAGGGGCGAAGAATACAAATAAAATCGGTATTAATTACATATGGATACAAATCACGAGACAATGATTATGGTAAAATGAGATAAAATACAACTATCTCGCAACGCAACACAAGAAAGAAATCGTAAGTTGATTTATGTCACAAAATCATATTATTTAATCTACAAGTCAACGTATATTCATAGCTCCGGCTAACCGCTTTAGAATACGGGATTTTCCAAAAGGGATGAATATTGCATGAAGTAGATGCAATTATAAATCTTGTATTATCTTATAACAAATAACTGTTTTTTCTGTTTCGTAGAATGCCTAAAAGTTATTGATTAATTATCTCAGAATCGTGACCCAATATCAGACACTGT